GTGTTCCTGCACCCCCGTATCCCCACGTCCCCCCAAGCAGCGAGTGTGTCCAGGGCACATGTCTGTCCGGGGCACGTGCTGCTGCCAACTGTCTGACTGACCTGTCCCCGGCGCCTCCCCCCAACAGTGCTGCTCCTTCGAGTGCCAGGTGAGTGTCACGCGCTGCCCCCCTGTGCCCCACCGTGTCTGGCCTGCGCTGACTGCCCCCGTGTCTTGCAGCCCGCCAGAGGACCTCCAGGGCCCCGGGGCGACCCCGGCTACGAGGTGAGTGGCCGCACCTGCCCTGCACCCATGCTGGGAGCCTGCCGGTGGGGGTGGGGCGGGGACTGTGAACACCTGGGGTCTGAGGCCAGGGGCGGCTCACGCAGGACAACTTTGAAAGTCAAGTTAGTCGCCAATATTTGAACTTGAGTGTTTATGAATGTCCAGATTTCTGGCTTCTAAAAATTGTCCCATTCGGTGGCCACCGTCCGAATGAGGCCGCTCAGGCCGCCAAACCCCCAGCGTGCTCCTGGGCTGGGTCCCCACGCGCCTGTGCCTGGGAGTGCGCCAGAGCTGAACAGGGCCAGAGAAGTGACTCCAGGGCCTTGGAGCTCCCAGACCCCAGGACAGGCCAAGCGTGACGGGCAAGGTGTCTTGAACCCACATGAACTCTGAAGACTAAGCAAAATATCTGTTTAAAAACTTTTTTATTTTTTAATGAGGAAATAGGGATTACCTTTCACCAGCTTTTTAGAAATAAACTGGAATGGTCCCCTGACTTTCATCTGTTCCATGTTCCAGGGAGAACGAGGAAAGCCGGGTCTCCCAGGAGAGAAGGGAGAAGCCGGAGACCCTGTGAGTGCCGGTGCCTGACTGTCGGGGTGGGGGGCGCCCAGGAGCCCGAGGCTGGGGGAACGGGGCTGTGGCAACTTCTGGCACCAAGGTCACACGCCCTGTCCCTCGTGGGTGGGAGAGGGCCGGAGGAGCAGTGGCACAGCCATTCCTCCAACACATCCCCCCCAGGCAGCACCCACCCCCCTCCACATCCCCCCAGACAGGTCCTACCTG